GCTGTTCGGTTTGCTTTGGATCTGATCTTCGTTCATCGTTCAAGCAGAACATCCTGATTTTGTAAGTCTACCCCTTAATAAACACCCATCTGTTTTCTTAGTTCTGAGTTAGTGTGAGATTCCTTTTTTGTTAAGCACCTGATCATTCCACCTTCACAATTCGGTATAGTCACTGGAGCATGGTCAAACTGCCTATGCTCCCTTCTAAAGAAAAGTGATACCATCCTCAGCCCCACACCCACCAGTAGCTATCTAATGTGGAGAGCTACACTTCAGTATCCTCATCACAATGTTTAAGAGTTTTCTTTGATGGCTTCCTGGCTAGGTTGTTATTTGGGATGTGGATTGTCACAGAAGTCCTCCTATGTCTGCTTCTCAACACGAGTCATCAATCATCGATACCAGTACAGAAGTTTTCTTGTTCTTTACAGTCAGCGTAAACGCAGATCATGAACTTACAGATAGTAACCGGTGTCAGCAAGAGCCTGTGTCATCAACAGGGCTTCAGGTGACAGCACAGCCCATGGGCATCAACATGTGTCCAGGCAGTGGCACAGCCCATGGACATCCACATGGCCCTCAGTTGTGACATGGGACACAGCACAGCCCCTGACAGCAGCGGTACCACAGATCCAGATATGGGTCTCAGTCACAGCATTGACCATGTAGATCAACATGAAGGAAAGATGGATATTGGAGCAGGAAACGAGATATCTTTCTTGAGGGATCCATTTTGGAGTTGGCAAGAGGCTTGACTCTGGAGAAGTTCTCAGTAGTCCATGGGGATGACCCCAGCTAGAAGTCTCCATGTCAGCCATCCCACTCCCCCAAGCTCTCCTCAACCCTCCCCTTTTCTCCTCTCTCTCCCTCTCTCCCCTTCCCTATACCCCCACCTACCCCTAGCTTGCAACTTCTGCCTGGCAATATTGTTTGCTTCCAATTTCCAGAAAAATCGATGTATGGTTTTCTTTAAGTTCACCTTATTATTTAGCTTCTCTGGGATCATGAACTATAGGCTCAATGTCCTTTGTTTATGGATAGAATCCACTAAAGAGTGAGTACATGCAATATTTATACTTTTGATTCTGGGTTATATCACTCGGGATAGTGTTTTCTACTGAGCAGTGGAGAGAAGGGTGCCTGAACTGGACTTGCCCAGTAGTCAGACTGATGATTATCTTGAATAGCACCATAGAACCTTCATCCAGCGACAGATGGAGACAGAGACAGAGACCCACACTGGAGCACTAGACTGAGCTCCCAAGGTCCAGTTAAAGAGCTGAAGAATGGAGAATATGAGCAAGGAAGTCAGGACCACAAGGACTTGGTTCACCCACTGAGACAGTGTGCCAAAGCTAATGGGAGCTCACTAACTCCATCTGGACTGGGAATGAACAAGCATGGGAGCAAACGAGCCCTCTGAATGTGGCTGACAATTGAGGCAGACAGAGGGGCACTGGGATTTGTCTCTACTGCATGCACTGGCTTTTTGGGATCCTATTCTCTTTTGATGTATACCATTTTATCCCTGGATGCAGGGGGGAGGGCCTTGGACTTCCCATAGGGTAGAGTGCCTTGTTCTTTCTTAGGACTGGAGGTGGTGGGGCGATCATGTGGGTGAGCTGGAGGGAAGTGGGAGGAGGGGAGAAAGTGGGGATTTTGATTGTATTATTTATAAAGTAGTAAAAATACATAGACTTCTTTTCTAAGCTGAAGTTACAAAGGATCACACAGAGAGGGAGAAAAAAGAGGGAGGGAAATAGAGAATGAGAAGGGAAAGGCATTCCAGGTTTAGTGCTGCCTGCCTGCAATCCTAATGATAAGTAAGATCACAACTACATCAACATATATGGCATTTCAAGTCAACTAGAGTGAGATTCTGATTCAAAATGACAAACAAAAATCACAGAGAGAGGGATGTTTAGGTCCTCATAAGGTCTGAAACTAGATAGAGGAGCTGATTGCACTGGTCTTTCTGTTCACTTGCGTACTTGTGTAAAATGTCCTTTTGTTCCGAAGCTTACAAATTTTGCCTTAACGGAATGCTGGAGCTTAGGACCTGGTGGCAGATGAGCCCTAATGCTGTGGTATTGCAATATATTGCATTGGCACTGTCTCAGATGTGGATATTATGTGTCTAGCCAGAATCAAATTGCCAAGTGAAATCCTCACCCCCTAATTAATTGCACAGGTTCTTTTCAGTTCATGGTGAAATTGACTTCCTACCAGGGTTTAACCAGCTACTGGATGCAGAAGGGCTCTGCTGTCTGCACAAAGTTACACTGGAGACACCATTCCCAAAAGAGCTGTGTTTACAAGAGGCCAGAAGTTGCCCCTCATTTTTCAGATTTTAAGAATTCACAAAATTAATAAGAACACAGAATCAACCCCCACAAAGGAGAAAAATTACAAAACAACCACATTTTCAAATCAAAACACTGTAATTCTGGAAGAATTGTATTCCAGAATGCAGAACACAGTAAAAATGTGAATCTTGTCATCAAGGACTACGTGTGGCATTATCTGAGGGAAGAAGAACAGCAGAAGTTGTGCTCCTGACCATCAGTGAAAGACAGCGCTCTTAGCTTGACCAGTAATGTGTGATCTTAAAAGTTCACCTCATGTAGAAATGATAAATCAATTAGAACATCTTGGCCTGGCGATGGAGCTCTGGGTTTGCCTAGTTCACATGGAGCACTAACCCATTCCCCAGAGGAGAATAGTGAGCAAATGTGTCAGTCTAGCGCTGCAGAGCTAGAGGCCAGAGGATCAGAAGTCCAAGGTTTTCTGCAGATGCATAGTGAGCTTAAGACCAGCCTGGACTTCATAAGACACTATCTCAAATGAAACTAGTAAGAATCACATCATCATAGCTGGCCAGTGCTGGCACACACCTTATCTCAGCATGCAGGAGGCAGGGGCAAGGGGATCTCTGAGTTTGAGACCGGCATTTTCTACAGAGATTGTTCCACAAAGGCCAAGGAGGAAGAGAGAAAATGTGTCTGGATAAAATATATCATCAGTACAAAAGTAGCATCAATCTACACCACAGGAAGACATAAGAAGAAGCTAAACTTTAGGAAATCCTTCTGAAAATAAATGGTCAGTATAATTGGGCATCTCTTAGGTCCTGGCTATTAAAAATAATGCTGCTATGAACATAGTTGAACAAATGCCTTTCTAGTATGATTGGGCATCTCTTGGGTATATTCCCAGGAGTGGTATGGCTGGATCCTGAGGTAGGTTGACTCCCAGTTTCCTGAGAAACCGCTACACTGATTTCCAAAGTGGTTGCACAAGTTTGCATTCCCACCAGCAATGGATGAGTGTTCCCCTTACTCCACATCCTCTCCAGCATAGGTTATCATTGGTGTTTTTGATTTTAGCCATCCTGACAGGTGTAAGTTGGTATCTCAGAGTTGTTTTGATTTGTATTTCCCTGATCGCTAAGAAAGTTCAACATGACCTTAAGAATCTTTTGGCCATTTGAACTTCCTCTGTTGAGAATTCTCTGTTCAGTTCAGTACCCCATTTTTTAAATGGGTTATTTAGAATTTTAATGTCTAGTTTCTTGAGTTCTTTATATATTTTGTACATTAGTCCTTTGTCTGATGCAGATTGGTGAAGATTTTCTCCCATTCGGTAGGTTGCCTTTTTGTCTTAATGACAGTGTCCTTTGCTTTACAGAGGCTTCTCAGTTTCAGGAGATCCCATTTATTCATTGTTGTTCTTATTGTCTGTTCTACTGGGGTTATATGTAAGAAGTGGTCTCCTGTGTCCATGTGCTGTAGTCTACTTCCCACTATCTCTTCTATCAGGTTCAGTGTGGTCAGATTTATATTGAGGTCTTTAATCCATTTGGACTTGAGCTTTGTGCATGGTTATAGATATGGATCTATTTTCATTCTTCCACAGGTTGACATCCAGTTATGCCGGCACTCCCAAGGTCTAGTTGAAGAGCAGAAGGAGGGAGAAGATGAGTAAGGAAGTCAGGACCACGAGGGGTTCGTCCACCCACAAGACAGTGTGCCTGAGCTAATGGGAGCTCACCAAGGCCAGCTGGACTGGGATTGAATGAGCATGTGATCAGACCGGACTCTCTGAATGTGGCTGACAATGGGGGCTGATGGAGAAGCCAATGATAAAGGCACTGGGATTTGTCTCTACTGCATGTACTGGCTTTTTGGGATCCTACTCAGTTTGGATACACACCTTCCTAGGCCTGGATAGAGGAGAGAGGGCCTTGGACTTCACTCAGCGCAGGGTACCCTGCCCTCTCTTAGGACTGGAGGGGGGGACGGATGAGTGGGGGAGCAGGAGGGAAATGGGAGGAGGGGAGCAGGTGGAAATTTTGAATGGTATTATTTATAAAGCAATAAAAAGTAAAAAAGAAACGGTCAGAAAATGATTTCTTTGAAGTGCATTAATTGTAAGAAAAAAAGAGATGAAAGGAGTCTTACTAATTAAATGATGTCTTATTTATCACTTATTCAGATTCAGATCAATAGAGCTAAATTTAAAAGAACACATTTATCATTTATGAAACAGTTGTATAATTGAGTACTGACATTTTAGTAAGACTGAGAAATTGTTGAACACTTATTTCAGACACAATGAAACAGAACTGAAAATGCAAGCTGGAGCCAGCAGCATAGAAACCAGACTGGTGAACTGGGAAAGGGTAAGAATGTCTGTGGTTTTGCAACTGCCTCACATTTAATCTTCACCCTTGCCTTTGAATTAGAAAGGGTACCAGTGAGACCTTGACATCATTTATTAAAGAAAGAATTTGTACTGCAGAGTCCACGCAAAAAGTATGGGGATACACGGGCATACAATGTTTTCAGTTGCTGTCGGGTTTGGACAAAAAGAGAAGATGCATAGCTTTTCCAGTATCCATGGTGTGCTTTTCTGGATGTTCTTATGTTGTAACTGCAGCACTCAAATTCTAGCTGCTTCCCCCCGACCCATTACTAGGAAGTATAGACAACACTCCGAAATTGCATGCTGAAATTTTTATTAGGGTCAGGTAGACAATCAACAATGGTTCATTGACCTGTTTGTCTGAAGAACATAATCTTCTCTGGCACTCTCTGAAATAAATAGAAAGGAGAAAAGTTAGTGAAAAATTGAGGCCTCCAGGAGATTCAAATGCTACTGTAACCACTAAAGCAAGAGAGGTGAGAGATCACACCCTCTTCTCCCTCAACTCCTCCTTCTTCCTCATTTTCTCAGGTTAGCACCTGTCAGCCACAGAACAGACAGTAGAACTGAGGTATTTATTATGATATGAAAGTGAACAATGTTTCCTGGCTTGCACTTCCTTGGGTTCTGATTTGAAATATTTCAGGATATACTTCCAAAGGTGTCTACGGAAATGCACCCTGACTGGATGGAAAACTGAAACCATCCTAAACGTCTATAAACAGAATGGCAAATAAGGAGGTGAAGACCATGCAATGCTGTGCAATGTTAACACCCAAAAAAATTCTGAGTACACAGCAAGACATACACAATAACACCATTGAAACATGCTGCAGGGGGATCCATGTAACCATGCTTGTATGAAGCGATGCAGTTTTCCAAGATATGAGGCTTTTAAATAAATAACCTTAAGTTCTACATAGAATATCATTCATGTAAAATTTACTGTTACTTTGTATAAAACCACACATACACAAAGTAATATTTCTAAGAGGATTGCAAAAGGATTTAAACTAGTGGCTTTCAAGGACAATAATGGAAATTTCAGCTAATTTGTAATCTTAATATTCAACCATGTGCCATCCTAAGAAAAATAAATAACGAGGAACTTGGACATACACAAATTTAGAAAAGTGTGCTAAACATCTGGACAAGCTCAGAGGTATCTCTATGTTTTTACTTAGAGACAATGTATCTGAGCATCTCTGGTGTGAGTGGGACAGAGAGTACAGGCTGCAGATGAGAAATTCCTGAGGTTCAACACAGAAAACAAAGAACCAAAGAGAAGTTGTTGCTGTACGTCTACAGACCAGCGCAACTCAATAGGTAATCATTAAGAAAATAGGAACTACAGAACTATGTTCCTCAAAGGCAGAAGTACATTAGAATGCATCACTGTGATCGTCCTATAGCAACACACATATACCATCCTATACTATCTGAATTCAAAGATCATATATGAGGCCGTAGATGTTGTCACTCCAGTTAACTAAATTTCACCTTATGGTTTGAGAAATGTGAAAGGAAAGGGCTTTGTGCTTAGTAATTTGACTCATACTTGTCATTGATGTCTGGATTACTCAGATCATTAGGCTCAAAAGCAACTTACCTATAACTACTTAAAACGTTCAACTAACTACAGAATAATTAATTTGCTGCCGCCACTCTTCTGTTAAAGAATCGCCCTAGTCTTCCAAAGTCAAAAGAAGGAGGATTCCATTTTTTGCCTATGAAAGGATGAAAAGGACCACGAGGACCAAAAGGACCCCAAACATGAGGTTTATGGTCATCCACTGGAGGAGAAGAGTCTTGTGGGGGGTTTTCTTCTTGGGGTGGTTCTTGTGGGTTTTCAGGAGGAGAGGAAGGTTGGTCTTCAGACTCTTCTGCTGCTGGTTCTTGTTGTGTATCAGTCACTTCATTTGCATCATCATCAGAGGACACTTGTTCCCCTTCTGGCTCAGGCTCGTTTTGTGGGTCACTATTTTCAACCCCATCATCAGCAGAGGGCTCTGGGGCTTCACTCTGGCTTTGCTCCACAGGATCTGGATGGGTAGGGCCAGACAATGGGAACACACTGGTCAGAGAATTTGTTTTTGTTTTTTTATTCCTCTGACCTAATCAAACAATTCTTTCTCCCAGAACCTGTCTGCCAGCTACTAACTCCTTCTTCCATACATCCTTGTTGCTTGGCTTTCTAGATAAACATCCCAATAAGATAGAAGGTTTTGTGTTTCTATCTTGAGATAAGTATGTGCTATGACTGGAAAATATGAACGTTTGGGGACCCTTATTTATCACATGCAATGTCTCCAGAGACAAAATGGCAATAATGCAGAAGAATAGGTTGACATAGGGAAAGTTGCCAGTTGTGATTAAGGACATTTTATGAACTCTCTGCATCTGCAAGGGGTTACAGCCCTGGTTTGGGGGCCCTAGAATGAAATTTGACTTGTACGTTACATCTACACATGGAACCCCAAGAGCAGAGAAGAACAAAATGAGATCCAACAAATTCACTAAATGCCTGGGAACAATTTGTCATTTCTTTTTAAATCAAAGACAGTTACATAGTTATGGAGAAAAAAATAAAGAGAATGCAGGGAAAGACAAATATTTCTCCATATGGTTTATGAGTTGTGTAATAAATTGTAGACAGAAACACTGAGAAATAAGGGAACCACAGACCCTCTCACAACCAGAAGAGTCAGCATTAAGGCACTTTTGGTCTCTTCTCACAGGGCTCATTTCTGGATGGGAGGCAGACAAATTTCTGCTGCTGATAAAGAAGCTTGGTATCCCTATTATTCATTTGGTTGAATTCAGTCATGGTTCCCAGCATTAATGTTGGGAAATAAGTTTCTATCTTTAGAGAAACTAATTTTCACTCATTCCTAAGACAGAAAATATGATAAGACGACACTGAAACACAGACAATTAAACAGCATGGAAGGATGATGGATTGAGCTTTACCTGCAGGGGCGGCAGCAGGAGCCTCAGTGGCGGCCTCTAGGAATAAAGCAAAGGATGAAGTGAAAATTGAGGTCACAGTCTTTCAGAGCTTACAGATGTCCTGCAGGAAAATGTGACTTCCATTCTCAAGCTTCTGAGCACCAGTGAACTCATCAGGCAGCAGTGAGACACTTGAGAAAGGGTCTGGGATGTGTGAGCATGTGCAGATTCCCTGTGCTGTTGCCCACACGCTCTAAATGTAGAATCTTTATTGTCCTCCCTGCACATCAACAAAACACACTGCTCCCTTTTCTTAAGTGTGCGGCATATTTCCAACTTGCATTGAGAATATGCCTCACCAGTTTGTTTCTTCATTAAGTCTTAGTGTTCTCAAGAGGTCAATCAAGGAGTACACATCATACAAAGCAACATGCACTGCCTGAAGCATATTGAAATTCTGAAAGAGGACCAGAGTAAACTCTTTAGACTGGACTATGGTGCTCATACTTCAGTATCTATAGCATTGAATTTATTCCATAATTCTCTAATTTTGAACTGATCTTTGTGTACGCATCTATATCACGTGTCTGGTATATTCTGTGCAGCAAGGCTAGCTCATCGCAGCATTCACTCTGATTATCAGAATGTACGCATACATCTCCACCATATCTATGCCTCTTTGGGGCCAGAGAGCACTTTTCTAAACACAAAGTGGAATACCTTGATCCTCTGATATAGTATTTTCTGGCCTTCAGATTAAATATTTAATAAAAAGAGCATGTTATGTGCTGATGATAAAACTGTTCTAACCCTTATCACAGGCATTCCCTTAGGCTGTCTTTCTTCTCACTTGATTCTGTCCTCACTTCCCTCTATCCTCCTCTCTTTCCTCTCTTCTTTCTATTGAAATCTCCAACTCCCACACTATAATAGTTCATACCTTCACTGGGGGTCTGAGCTGAGCTCAGGACCAGCAAGGTCGCTGTGAACAGAACTGCCAGCATCTTGGAGGAGGCTCTGGAGCTGTTCTCAAGTGAGTGATGGGACAAGTCCATTCCCTTTATAAAACAGAGCCCAACAATGGAATCTTTGATCAACAATTGAAGAACTGGCTCCATTCTTTCTCTTTGGGACTTTAGCCCAACAGGGTGGAGTGTGGAGATGTCAACATGTCCTATCTAGAAGCAATAACACGTAATGAGGTGATGTGGTTGAAGGAACCTTGTCTCCTTGCACACAAGTAATATTTCATTATATATGTACCATTCTGTAGTGGTAAATCATAGATGGTTTCCCTTCCAGCTAAATATTCTGAAGAGATTGACAATGAACACAGTTAGCAAGTATCTGTGAATTAGGATATTGGCCTCTTTAGACATATGCCAACATATATGCATATGTTATTTAGCTGGGTCATAAAGTAGTGTACATTCAGGTTTTCAGAATTCTCCACCCCTTTTTCCATTCTGATTGCTGTAGATTGCACTCACACCATAGATGGATGACAGGTTTCCTTATCCAAACTTCCTCTCAAGAGTTTGTTGTCAGCTGTTTTCTTGTTCTTGGCCATCTGTCTGGTGTAAAATGTAATCTTCAAGTACTTTTACTTTGAAATTCTATAGCTTCTAAGAATGCTGGACAATTTTTGTCAGCCATTTTTATTTCTTCTTTCTGAATCTTCTCTGTAGATCCCTTGCCCATTTCATTTGACCTACTTGCTTTCTTGATTGGTTATTGAGTTGTTTGTTTTGAGTTCCCTGTATATTCTGCATAGTATTCTCCTCACAAAAGTATAACTGGCAAAGATCCAAAGCATGTGACCTTCCTATTTACTTGATTATTTCATTTGCTATACAGATTTCTAGTTTTATGAGATCCTGTTCATTTATTAACTCCTGTGTGGATGGAACCGTATTCAAAAAGTCCTTTCCTGTACCTGTATCCTGTAGGGTACTGCCTTTTTTCTTCTAGTAGTTTCAGGGTTCAGGTTTTGCATTAAGATTTTGATCCATTGCAGCTGAGCTTCTGTTCAGGGTGGCAAATCTGGATCTAATTTCATTCTTCTACAAGTGGACATTATTTTGCCATCACCATTTGTTGAAGATGCTGTCTTTCCTTCACTGTGTATTTTTATCATTTTTATCAAATAGCACATGGCTGTTGCCTTGCACACTCCTGTGTGGGTCTCCTGTTTCATTCCATTGACCATGTGTTTGTTTTTGCTAGTACCATACTGTTTTTATTCTCATAGCTGTGTAACATAGCTTGGAATGTGAAAATATAACCCCTTCAGCATTATTATTTTCTCAGAAAACTATCTGTGGTGTTCTGTAATTTCATATAAATTATAGGATTTTTTTATTTTTGTGAAGACTCTCATGGGTATTTTGGTTGAAATTATATTGAGTCTCTAAATTTTGTTAGAATAGTCATTTTTACAATATTAATCATACCAAACCATGATGCTGGAACACCTTTCCATCTTCCAGTGCATTCCTTAATCACTTTCCTTCTAAGATGTGAAGTCTTCAATGGCAAAAATTTTTACAACTTAAATCCTTTCTTTATAGATAGTTTTTGATGCTACTGTGAATAAGATTGTGTCCATGTTTGCTCTTTCTCTTTGTTTCTTAGTAATATATGGAAAGGATGTTAATTTTTCTAAGTTGATTTTGTATCCTGTCACTAAGCTGAAAGTGCTAATACTTTTAGAAGTTATAGCAGGTAAAGGTATAGGCCTAGAAAATATTATGCTTGTGAGGTAACCCACACAAATACTACACATTCTCTTTTGACTTGGATCATAGTTCTGAATCTTTAGATGTGAATAAACAGAACCTGAAGTTAACACAACAACCAGGGAAGTAAAAAACCCAAAAAACATAGTGGAGGAGAAGGAGTTCTACAGTAGGATATTGGTGCTTTTAGGGGGAATGGAAAAAAAATGGTGAGACTTTAACCAGGAAGAAAGGAAAGTTTTATTATTATTATTATTATTATTATTACTACTACTATTATTATTAATTAATCCCAGGTTTTACTCCCTTCTCTACTCCTGCTAACACAACTTTTTTCTCATCCACTCCTCAGAGAGGTTAAGGCCTCCCCTAGGAAGTGAACAAAGTCTATCCCATCACCTCATTGAGACAGGACCATTTGAACAAAAAGCATTCTGTGTGCACTGATCTTATTTGGGTACATATTTTGATGGCTCCTTTCTCTCCTATTGTTTGCTTTATTATGCCTAATATTTGCCTGATCACATTTTTATAAATAATTTAAATTAGTCAGTAAGCACAGCAGCCTCTATCATTCAGTATGCTTTGGGGGATTGTTTGATGTTCAGATTAGTGCAGGGTGTGTTGCAAGAGGCTGCTTGTTTGTCCTGGACACCCAGAACCAAAATAACCACACATAAACTGTATTAATAGAACACCGCTTGGCCTATTAGCTCTAGCTTCTTATTGGCTAACTCTTTTTTTAAAAGATTTATTTATTTTTTATGTATACAGTGTTCTATCTATCTGTATGCTTGCTGGCCAGGAGAGGGCACCAGATCTCATTACAGATGGCTATAAGCCACTATGAGGTTGCTGAGAATTGAACTCAGGACCTCTGGAAGAGCAGTCAGTGCTCTTAACCGCTGAGCCATCGCTCCAGCCCATTATTGGCTAACTCTTATATCTTAATTTAACCCATCTCATTAATCTGTGCATCACCACGAGGTTGTGGCCTACCAACAAAGTTTCAGCATGTCTGCCTTCATGGTGGCTCAATAGCTTCTCTTTGACACTGCCTCCTTTCTCCCAGCATTCAGTTTAGGTTTCCCCACCTAACTAAGTTCTACCTTGCTATAGGCCAAGCCAGTATCTTTATTCATTAACCCATAAAAGCAACACATAGATCGAAGGACCTCCTACACCATTTCTCCTTTTCTGTTTAAACAAAAAGGAAGGCTTTAACTTTAACATAGTAAATTTACATATAAAAAACAGGTATCTATAACTTCAAATTTACCATAAAGAAAAGAAAAGGTATCAAGCAAGGATGATAGTTACCATATTTATATATACTTTATCTTTTATCATAACTAAGAAAATGATAACTATCAATTCTCCAACATCATCAAAGACTCCAGAAGAATATAATCTTACCTATGTAAACAGTTCATTGTAAGTAACTTCAAAACTCTAGAAGTGACAGACACATCTTGCTGCCTGGACAGTCACCCAAAGTTCTTTTGTACCATTGGAGCATCCATCTTCAACCTACAGGCCCATAATATCTAGCAGACTTTTTCATGAAGCAGGAAATTTCAAAGACAGTTCCACCAATATTGACAGTTTGTCAGTCACTTTCTTCTGTGTCTTGCAGACTCTTTCTATTCTTTCATGAAGTGGTAACCATAAAGGACCATTTCACCTGAATAGGTAAGCAACTTTATAAGGAGCCTCTTCAATTCCCATCTTCTTTTTGAAGTAGATTGGTGCTTCCAGGAGCAGATGTGTCTCACTGCCTTCAAAAGTCATAAATTCTTAAAACACCTTAAATGCCATATACTGTAGTCTTTGAAAGATTTAAAGAATCCCTGTCCATCTGAAATACAGCTCTATACATCTAGAAAATCTAACTAACATGACTACAAGCTTGACTACTATAGATGACTCTCTATTTACCAATATTTCTTAATTATACGTTACTTTTTTAAATGAACTGCACAATCACAATACCCTAATGAAGAATAAAAATATATATACACAGTATATCAAAATTGACTTTAAATTTGTGTCGATAAACCAAGATTCATACCCATGTAAATCTCTACAGCATATCCCTTTTTAAATGTAAACAAAAATATATAGACTATAATTGGGAATATGGGTGTAGTTCCTCTCCAAAACTTCCTCTTTTTGTTTGGCAAAGAAATTTTTAGGGGTGTTTACAATGAACTTTCAGGGGATCTTGGTCCATCAAACCACATTAGTCTGGAATGATTCCATAGGTTCTCATCCCCTTTGGAAGCAAAAGAAGAACCTCTTTTCCAAAGCAACATATTCTTAGACCCATATTTTGAAGACAAAAGAACTTTAAAGTATATATGTTGGCTACTTAGCTCCTTCACAGTCAAATAATTCAAGGAAAACACAATAGTATACATAATCCAGACTCTCCGTGTACATTCCATCTTTATGTGGCTTATTTTTCTTACTCTACTATTTTTTCTACAAGTTTAATATTTATTTTATTACCTTTACTCCTTTAATTTATTACTGTCTGTACACTTTAATATTACATTTACTGTCTCTTTACTCTTTTTCTTCTCTCTCCCAAGCCTATGTACATTTTTTAAGCACTGTGTTTCATTTAAAAGTCTTTTATGTCTGAGTCTGCCTTATTTTACATCTGTAATGCTTCTCTGTGCATGAGTACTTCTTAAAATGCTAAAGAGCAACTAAGGCTGCTTTGTCTTTTGACTCAATCCAGTCCAACATGATGGAGTGGAGGTCTGTTTTCACAAGCCATCCTCACAGCCCCATTTCCAGGCATGCAGTGTGTCTATGTTACCATTAAGCAAGTTGTAGCAGTCTGCTCACAAACCTCATTTAAATGCTTCTATTCTGCTAAAGCTGACTCAGTAAACCTCTCTTAAAGGAGCTGCCACATTCCGCCAACAAGCGGAACCCATCCGGAAAAAAAATTCCAGCTAAATTTTATTTTTTAGTGTCTAGAATTCCTTTCCAAGCCCTCTAAGGCTTTGCGGGGATTAAGTCAACCACGTTGGATCTCCAATTTCTTACAAGAGGATGCTTTTTTATCCCGTCCACTGAAATAACCACACAGAAACTGTATTAATTACAACACTGCTTGGTCTATTAGCTCTAGCTTTATATTGGTTAACCTTTACATTTTAATTTTACCCATATCCATTAATCGTGTATCATTAATCATGGCATATCAGCAAAGTTTCAGCATGTCTGTCTCCATGACAGCTCCATAGCTTCTTTTCACTCTACCTCCTTTCTCCCAACATTCAGTTTATTTTTCCTGCCTAACAAAGTTCTAATTTGTTATAGGCCATGCCAGTTTCTTTATTCATTAACCAATAAAGGCAACACATAGACAGAAGGACCTCCCACACCAAAGGGGGTCATTTGTGAGGGACTTTGGATAGAGATAAGGCACCTAGGGTCACGTGGTAGAAATCTCTGAGAAGTCTTGCTTAACCACTGTCGATCATCGAGTCTGGGACTCTGCCTATGGAGGTCAAAGGGTACAGAGATCATTTTAAAAAGGCATAAAAAATGTCCTGGCCAATGATGATGCAGCCCATGAAGACAGTCAGTGATAATACAATTTCCCCATGTCATAATGGGTGTGAACCTACAGGGGAGTTACTAGGATCTGACAAAACTACATCAGTTATGACTTCATAGTTCTCCCTAGGCTTATGGTCTTCAAGGGAGACAGACAAGTGACTTAATCCTGGCAGCCCCTTATATTTAAACCAGGGACTGGCTGGTTTCTACAGATACTAAATAGGAAGTGAGAGTGACCCCTCACTCTAGGGGTCTTCAGTGGGAGGTTTAAATAGTGGGAAAGGTAGAAAGAAACAGCAGAGGGAAGAGGCAAGCTGGGTGTTCATACTGTGAAAGCAGAAGTCCTGGTGGAATCCAACCTTGATCTTAACATGATGTGTCCAAAAACAGAGGGGTAGCCTCTGCCAAATATTACTACCTCAGATCCCTTGCCTGACCTTCTTCAGTGACAGCAATGAGTGAAGAAGGTAATGTATCATGAAAGAAAAATATCACCTCTGATTTCAATGGACATAGGGAAATCATACTATGGAAGAGCTGACAAGTAAAGGTCTTAGGGAAGGAGATGGGAGGAACAAATGGGTCAGTGACAACTTGATGTAGGATGCCAAAAACCTTTTTTTGATTTTATAGCATTTAATGTATTTACTTATTTTGGGAATGTTTATTTTATTGTTTGAGAAGTCCATGCCTATATATTTAATGGGTTTTTATCTAATCTATTCTTTTTTTCCTCCTCTCTTAATTTCTTAGCCTTGCAGTCAGCAGGTAT